GTCAAAGTAAAACTAGAAGCCAACAAAATGGGGACTACGCCCCTTATGTATCATCTTTCAAAATTTTAACTGCATCTACCTTTAAATGATGCTGACATTTTGAAGCTCGATTTTGAGTGTTTTTCGAATTTTACTTCTAGCTTTAATACGCATACAGGAATTTCTAAAAATCGATTATAAGATTATTCTAGTCGCGAATCTGAGTAATTTGATATATATTTTGGGTATGTTGTATGCACAGCTTCAAAGTTATACTCATCCGAAGGTGAAAATTTTGTGCGATCTAATTTCTAAAAAAACCTATTTTTCGGACCAAATTTTTAGATCTGTCAACTGAATGATATGGGTACCCGCGACCAATAAGGTTTTTTACGTTTCGGATGATATAAAATCTTCTTCGTGAAAATCCATCAACTAGAACGGCGGGAACTGGCCTTCCAAAAACACGAAATTTGGCAAAAAATGTTTTTGAAAATATCGCGGATTTAATTGCGTTTTCTGTGGATCATTTCCGCTTCAATAAATGAACTCATACGGATTTTGTTCTTTTTCGAAAGATGTACCCAATTTATCTCAAAAATAGTGTGAGCTGGCACATCCATGGTTCTTAATGGACCACATTGAAATCGGTATAGATCGATGTATTTTTTTAGGGTGCACACCGAAATCGGATGCGCGTTAATGGCATATTGAGTTTTCGGAAATTATTCGCGTTTTACGATTTTTTGGGTACTTCAATGCAACATGTGGCACATCTTAGCCGTCAAATGAAATTTCGCAAAATATATATGGATTGGAAGATAAACTTTAGTACTTCCTGGAAACCGCATGCGCATCAAATGATTTTGAGAATTACGCGATTTAGACGCAATTTAAAATGTATATTTCATAATATTATTTTATTTTAAGATTTATTCCTATTGATAGAACCCTAAGATTTATCGGAAGGGTCTTGATATAATCCACAAGGTGTATACTTATACACAAGAAGTGATTATTTTTATATATGTCAATTTTTCGGCAAAATTCGGGTAAAATAATAGAAGAATAACCCCAACATTTTTTTCTGAAATTTCTTGTATAAAATTAAAAAAATAAATATGATGACATTATTTTTTCGAACCAAAAACAAATATTCTTCCTCAATATCTTGTTTTGTTGTCGTTGTAATTTACAAACCGCTACACGGACTTGTGTGATTTTGATATCATTTGATTCATCATGGTGTTTAGATTATGTAGATATTTTTAAATTTATTTTCAGGTGTGTGTATGTCATGAATATAATGAAAATATTGATGTAATCTGCTATATTTTTTATTTTTCTCATATTTCGCGAAGATGTGCAGCTTTATCGCGATTATTATAATATATTCATATTCTTACTTTACGGAGGAAGATATATATCAACGTTTTTGGTCAATATAATAAACGTCGTAATTTTAAGATTTTTTTCTTATGCCCAAAATTAAAACCTCGATAACTTTTGCGCGCATCAACCTAAAGTTTGATCGCGAACGGTTTCGGAGTCAGAACATTTTTCTCTATATGTGTACCAAAAATAATTGATGTGCCACAAAAACAAAAAAACAGATTTTTTGAAAATGGAATATTAAAAAATTGGCAATATTGCCCATTTATCAAATAAAACTAATGGGTCGATTATGGAAAGCGACCAAACTCCAGTTGCGAGTTCAACTGGCAACGCAATTGAAATAAAACTTAACATTATGAATATCAACTTTTCTCAGTTGCTGTCGATAATACGGTTTTGACATTTCTACAACTAGAAATATTGTAAACAAACAAAAAATGAATAAAATATTTCAGAAAAACTAATTATATGTGAATTATGTTCAAGGTGTGTCATTTATTAGGAGGCATTTAAGAGATAAATCTATTAGAACTACCATCAGTTCTGTGAGTAGATGCTGACGTTTAGAGAATGTTCAATCAACTGCTCACATTAGCTTGAAGGCGTATTTTCGACTACCAAAAGATGCCGTTGTGTACATAGATGAAGCCTTAAACCCTGATTTTCGAAAAGCCGGGCGGTCAAGAGCAATTCCTCACCTATTAAAAATGTGTGCAGCTCTGATGTTTTTTGTGGAGGGAAGTTTTCAAAAGTCCCATAGTAATGACTTCAACCTTGGCATGGCTCAACCCACAATGTCGGTGGTTTTCGCCGAAGTTATCCGGCTAATAGAGGAAAAACTGTGTAAAATTTGGATTGTATTAAAATTAACGGAGGAGGAAAAAGGGAAGAACAATTTTTTTTATTGACGATACACACGTACATATTATGGACCCAAAAGAAGATGTTCGCGACTTTCTGTCATTCATTTGAAATGCGGGTTTGTCGGCCATAGCAGTAAAGGTCTTCTGAAATGGCCTTCCACACATCATCGATAGTGGCTTCGGTTTGACGTAGCACGCCGGCTGCTACATTTGGGTGAACTTCCATCCGGGCAAAAAGGACCTCAAATTGTTCTTTTGTAGTAATATTAGCCATTATGGGAAGCATAAAAAGTTCAGTTATTATAAACAGCAACCAGAAATAAATGGTTGCCGACAAATTCTATTTGAAGCAACTGAAGTTGACAACAGTTGCCATCCATAATTCAAATTTGGCAACTGGCAACGCCATCCTTAATCGACCCATAAATATCGTTTGCGAAAATTTTTTTCACTGAGTGGGCAAAAATCGACTAACTTATCCCTATATTAGAAATTTCAGTTCGAAATATCGAATTTGATTTGGCATCGCAGTTTTAAAATACCATTGACTTAAAATTGTACGGAACCGAACGGAATGAGTCCATACACATGTCATTCTTCAACCTATGATAAAATGATAAATTTAATTTCAGACAGATTTAGAGTCGTTTGTTTACAATTGTACAACAATTTAAAGTAAACATTACATACGCAATTCGCTGTGCTCTTTTAGCCTGTTACAAACATATGCACAAAGACATAATACCCTGTACAACAGTGTGGTGAAGGGTATAACGATTTGTGGTAGACTTTGTTATTTTTCTATATAAGCAGCACAAAGTGTAATGGCCGCGGCAAAAAAAAATCTTCAAGAAATGGGTATATTTTTTTGATGCTCAAATTTTTGAATATTTAAATTAACGGTTATTATAAAAGTGTTTATTTTGGTTGCTGTGGGTGTTAAAAACTAGGATGCACTGTTGTTTGTGTATATATTGAGATCTCATGGTGTTTACCACAACTGTAGTACTTAGTTCATCTAATTTGTAAAGCTAATTGTGAAATTAGTGGAGTAGAAAAAAAAAAAAACTTTTAAAAAGTTTCGCATTTTTTTTGAGAGAGTCTGTTTTCCCGTACTGCAAAAATCTATTAATTTTTATTGTTTTTCTCGATATCACCAAGGTCGAAATTACATGTAAGGTCCGATCTATGTTGTTTTTCTTTATTAGCTTAATAGGCTTAATTAGAAGTAAAATGCCAATCTTCATATATCTTCTTGTATGCCAAAAGAGTGAAATTTCCATCCATCTACGATAATCCCTTTTATTTTTGGCCGCTGTTAATATGAACATGCGGCATAGTGCAGCATCGCTTATTTTGTACACAGTGCATATGTGTATAGGAATTTTTTAAATATCCACCACCAATATTTATTTCTTCCTAATGTTATATAATCTTAGTCCGTGTGAATATTTTTTCCATTGAATACAGTTATACAATAGTATTGATGTTAGAGGTTCGACCACGCGTCGATCATGACAGTTTGAGGAAAATGAATAGCCTCTCTCTCAGACTACGGACGGATATTTAAATTATTATTGTTGGCTGTATTTAAGGTTGTTTTGTTGTTTTCACCTACCCACATACATACACACATTTGTACATCTCATGGTGCGAAACAAAACCAAGATCTATTATTTGATTTATTTTTTTTTTTTTTTTGTTATGATTCAACAAACTTTCGAAACACATATTTACTATGATATGAGTAAATATATTTGTGAGGATGTTGGTGGTGATGATCTTATCGTAGCAAATATGTTGTTTAAATATGGACCAATATTTTGATATCCCCATTTGAATATTAGTGTGTAGAAATGTACGATTTTTGAATATCCGGAGAACACTTTCTAAAAGTACCGCAACAAAACCACTCGCATTCGGCAATAATCGAAGTTGTTGTAATTTTACATACATTCGTAAATGGTGCGCTTACAAATTCCAGCTATTAATAATAAAAAAAGAAAAATGTGTGTGGATAAATGTATGCCTGCATTTGTAAATGCTAGTTGGGAAGCGGGTTTGGTCTTCAGAATCAAATTTCCATCAATACAGAAAAAAGTGTCAATATTTACATAATCGTCGGTCTTCATTGGCTGGCAAATGCAGCAGGCGGCGACGGTTATGAATACTAATTACAATTTATTTGTTTACCCACCTCTTAGACCGAACGAACGAAAAAGAAAGTGATGTGACGAAACATACAAACAGAGTGACATTGAGGGAGGGCGATCGATCGAATGCAGGTACGGACGGAGAGTTTTAGGCTAGGCGACATTGTTGAATCAAGCATGACCACTGACGTTGAGCCAACAGTTAAGTAGTTCACCCTCAAGCCTTTTCTTTCGTACCAACGCTTATGGGTGAGCCGAAGATGAAGGTGATAAACAGCTCTAATTTTAGCATGTCTTCAGCATTATTATTATTTTTTTAATGACAGATTATATGGCATAACTCATTTACATAATCATATCGTTCACATTTTTTGTTTGTTTTCAATATTCTCTCCAAAATAACGGAATTCGTTTTATTACAAACTATATTAACACAATAAAATTATAAATAAATAAATAAATTAATAGTTGAATAAGTTACTTAAATAATATTGCAGCTAAACTAAAAAATAAATTAGAAAAACACTTCGATTTCCTCAATCCGATGGAAATGTTCTATTCGAGCGTCCGGAATAAGGATATCGACTTGTAGAATTTATTTGAATCTGCGTTACAGGCCACCGTCATCGAATAAATTGTCGCCTTCCACGATGCCTTCCAGATCGACGAGGTTAAATAAACCACCGAGGCCACCCTCGTCACCACCGCCGCCGCCCAAACCTCCAAAACCGAAGAAATCACTGTCTGCATTTGGAGGCACAAAGGCACCATTAAACAAACCCTCCAAACGTTCTTCCACACCCATGGTCGTGGCCAGGCCATAGATTAAACGCATCACCACCAATCGGATAAAGTCGGGGGCTGTGGTCTCCTTGCCAGATCCCAAAATCAGCTGCCTTGGTGCGTTATATTCACTCTTAGGAGGCGAGATTAGCGGTAAACTGTTGGGTTTAGCAATGACCTTGGCATTAGCAACAAAAACCGCCAAGCACATCAGCAATGTGGTTGTAACCGTTAGTCGATGCAGCATGATGGGAAATGTGTGCTTTCAACGCTTACGACTGTCGGTATGCACGATGTGAGTTCAAGAGTATGAAGTGATTGATCGATCAATGGATTTGAATCGAAGTAATCCCAATGTTTGATGACTGCTTGCAGAATACTGACAGTTGCTTCGGGCTATTCGAATGGCGTATGCGTAACGCAGTATTTCTTTCTTCTTTAATTTTTACTAGTTCCGTCCGCAGTGCTCTCTCAACTTTGAGTGTTACAATCCAACTGATCGTTGTCTTCGTTTGGGCCCCAACCTGTAGTCTTGTGTGTGCGTCTTAGCGGATTTTTGTCTGGATGGTTGGTTAGTGAGGTAGGTTTAGTTGGCAATTACAAACTGAGGTGCGTCACTCACTCACTCACTCACTCACCCATTCATTCATTCACATTGTGTGTTGGCCAGCTAACTGCTGGCTGCAATCGTTCAGCATGTACCCATTGCCAGCTACTCTTTGTTCCCTCTTGACCGACAGCTATTGTCGTTGTGTTTGTTATTGTTTTCGTTTCGACAAGTAGTTTAACGACTTTCGTATTGTCGAATGGGAATTTCTTCGATGGCTTACGCGTTGGGAGATGAGCAAGCTGGCGAGTCAGCAGCACCTTGAGATGAAAAGATCAACGCTTAAGAAAAAAATGTGTAATTTGTTTATGCAATCTCATCTGCCCGTGTTTGGCAAGCATTTAGTTGTCGTCGGTCATTTCCAGTCGAAAATAGCCGTCGACTTGTGTTGGCAGATTAGTGATTATAGTTAAGTTAATGTTGTAACTGGAGGCTAATTTGATTATGGATGTCAAATGCGTTCATATAATTATATAGGTATGCATCTATGGTCATTACTCATATCAGCTCAACAAATATTGAAATTGTTGAAGGAGTCATTTCAATCAATCACCAGGTACTTATTCTTTTTATCATTTGTTGATTTTACTGTTTTTTTTTTTTTTTGAGAATATTAATACAAAATCAATATATGTATGTAAAGTAAATATTAAATATAAAATTAAATTTACAGAATCGAACTACTAGAATAGTAAAGTAGTAATAAATGCATTAAATTTGGTCTGTCCGAATATGTCATACAGTATGTATAAAGAGACATAAATTTAGTGGTATCTAATTAGAACCATGGTACAATTATTCAATTTTTTTCATATTATTGGCTTGATATTCCACAGTCGTATATAAAATGTGGGACTGTGTGTGTGTAATATTTTGAAGAATTAAAAAAAAGTATTCTAAAATCAATTTCAGTAGTGTTGGCAGGTTATTTGGGATACCATTTGTATTTTGTTTTTGCAAAATAGTCAGGCTTAATCCCAGTTTGTTGTTTTTATAAAAAACTACTATTTATTAGTGGGGAATGTATGGCATTGTCCGCCGAGGGGTAAGGCAGGGAAGACTATAGTTTCGCATCTCGCCACTGATCCTCATCAGTTCCCTTAGTTTTTTGTTGGGATATTCTCCCCAGAAGCTATTAATAGCTTTTTTACAAAAAACCCTTTCAAACCCAAATGTCTCTTGTGACAATTCGAAGTTCTTACGTTACCAGAGATACGACCCCAATGAGAAGTTCGTTTCGTTGGCGCCTGACTTCGTGGTCAACAAGGCATTTACAGACAACTACAATACATTTCCCACTGCTATGTGTCGTCACTTTGTGACGATTGCACATAACGTTGTTGTTGGTATTGCTAGTTAAAGCAATAAACCAAACAGTATGACCGTGCCTCGTCTACAAATCAATTTATTTGCCTATGAAATGTACAACATTGGTAAGAGGAAATTTATGATTTGTGCATGAATCAATATCTAAATCATATTTCCAAATCGACTTTGAAAAGAAAACCTGACATTCCATTCATTCTTCGCGTTTTTACTAAAATTTTAAAATATATGTCAAATAAACAGAACAACTTGTTGCATTTGTTTTTATACCCTTCACCACACTGTGGTACAGGGTATTATGTCTATGTGCATATGTTTGTAACAGGCAAAAGGATTTGAGATAGACACATGGTTCCTTTCGAGAATGTGCATAGAATCAGAATGATGTGTGCCGAGTTTCGTGTAAATCGGTTCAGATTTAGACATAGCTCCCATATATATTTTCGTCCGATTTTATGTAAATTGTGCACTAAAGACACAAAGTTTGACCGACTGACACATAAAAGTTACTACAACCTTTCGTGTGTCAAGTTTTCTTGAAATCGGTTCTGAGTTACGTATAGCTCCAATATATACTTTCGTACGATTCTATGTAAATGGGACACTAAAGACCAAACAGCGCGTGTAAAGTTTGCTTTAAATCTATTTATAAATGTTACCAAAGGTTGCATAATGGCATGCGTAGAGATTGATGGTAGTCTGTTTGCATATATATATATATATATGCATATATATATGTTTGCATATATATATATATATAGAGATCTCATATTAAGTTCGTTCAATTTCACGTCTATGTTCCTTCGAAAAGAATACAAATGCGTAATACACCCATATGTATTACGTACATATGCGTAATACACCCAAAGTGGTGAAGAGTACCCCTAAGTCGGCCCAGTCTGACTTTACTACTTCCCTTACTGGTTTCATTCTAACATTATAGCCCACAACGTAGAGGTGTATTTTTGTCTTTTTTGACAAAAGATACGCTACCTTGTATAATTTACCATAACTGGAACTACAGTTATGTCGGATATGTGAATGTCGGGGTAGCTCGTATTTTCGAATTTGTTAACATTTTCGATTCGACCAGCTTATTTACCTCTAATTCCCTGAACTGAACATTTGAACATTTTTTCTTTAGTTTGGCTACAATATGTAGAGAAGATTTTCTTTTAGGGGGTATTTTGCAAGGATTAAACAAGTACGATATTACGGACACATATGTTAAAAAAATTAGGTTAGACCTTCAAAATACAAAAAAATGGATGATACCTTTATATGATGCCAAGAGGTGTTTTTAAATCCGATATGCCTACTTACATTGACATAGTTTTAAAAATACGACTAGATACACCGATAAATGGGACCATTATCTGAAAGATCAGAAATGTGAAACTAAAAACCTGTGTTCAATGCCAAAAATCCTCGGACTATTAGCAGCGTATGTGCAATATTTTAATGCTTCATCTTTGATATTGCGATCACTATCGTGATTTAAACAAAACCGACATAGCATTTTGCTGTGATATTGCAAATAAAAAACGGATGTTTTCGAAAAACATTTTGACCTTCGAATCGGGATGATAATCATTTATTTCATGATTTGGTTTTAAAAAGAACATAAGGAGCAATACTGAAATACTGCTAGGTAATCATGGCGAAAGGATAAAGACTTCGCGAATCTTCATCGTTTCCATCCAGATTTGGGACTGAGTGTAAATTAACGTTAAAACATTTAAACTAATAGGAATTAATACATTTTAAACATACACAACTTTATTTTAACAAAGTACTATCTTTATCTTAAAAAAATAAATCAATATTGTCAACCCTTTTTAATATGGAATTCATATATCAATTTCAAATAAAATGGAAAATAAATTCCATAAAATTTTATGTACGTCGATGGGCATATTTTCAATAAATTAAACAAAATTTATTTTCAAAAGCTGAACGTAGTCTCTAAATTTAACCATGGTTGTTACTTCAAAATATTAATAAATATAAATGATTTAGCCATTTTTGCCACTGAACACATGATATGCGTACATTTTAAAGGAAGTAATTTCCTTTTAAATTTTGAAAGTTGAATCCTGTCAAAGCCAAATTTATGAAAAAATTGGAAACATATGACTGTATAATTATGCAATGCAAACAAATCCTAAAAAGAACAAAAACTTGCTAATAAGGTCGACATACATTTTCTCAAACCTCTTTAGAAAGTAAATCTACTTGTGTTATTCCTACTATTGTCTTGTCATTGTACTGAATTGCAAATAATATTCTCAAAAAAAAAACTTAATTGGATTTCTTAAGACGGAATAATGAAACGAAATATGAAAACAAAAAAACTGATAGCGTTGCCGATGCTAATGACGTCCGCTCATTTTATTTAGTATTATCAATGAAATTTAGAAGCAATTTATGGATTTTATTTTTTGTATTTTCTACCCAAAATAATATAATTTCTGAGTCAACGGCATTTATTAAAAATTGACCTCTTTGAATATTTTTGCCCTGAGAAAGATTATTTATATACTTTGTTATTGTATGGCTACTTCTTAGATGGTTCTAATTGAAAAAATATACAATTAATATTTAAATCATGTTACAATAATTAAACGTGTCATATAAATTTGTATGATGGTGTAGGATTCCATTCATTGGTGGCTTCTTATTATGCTTTGTCCGAAAACAAAGAATAATATATTAGTCAATATATTGGACATTAATTTTTTGTATTCTCAATACGGTCAAACACTGCATTTTATTGGTCCAAATATATTAACGTTGATTTAAAAAAACCGAACCTTGCATATGTGCAGGAAGTTAAATACATGTATAAGTGCTACCCAAACACGCTTTGCGTATTAAAATATATAGTTGTAATTTTTCAACATTGACGTTTTCGTTTTTTTTTTCATTTGACCACTATTAAATATAGAAACAACGGCTCTGAATGGCTTTAACATGGCGAATCCCAGGCTTATCTTGGTCCCTCTTTCATCTCAATTGTGGACACTGACCTCCCCGCGGTGCCACCTGGGGAGCTATTCCCATCACCCGATGAAATAGTGAGCTAACATGTGCCGCGAGTTCACCCATAAGAACTATAAAAAAATGGGTTGAGGCGTCGGGTTAGTTGCCCACTCTAAAACCCAACCTACTATGAAAAAGCAAAGAAAAAGAAAACCATACCCCCCTAATGTTGACGACCCCCGCAAACGTATAAAGGACCACGATCTGCGAATCTGCACTTGGAATGTGACCACGTTGTACAGAACAGGGGCAGTGTTCGCTTTGGCGGATAT